CCCTTTCAACTACCTAAACATCGCATCCATCATTACACAGCTAATGCTAAAACTTCAACAAAAAACACATTTGTTTGCAATCAGTCACCATTGTAAATAAAACCAGAATAATGCCACAGAACAAAACGCTTGGATTACACAACACGACACAGCTAACATTTTATTTTTGTGCCTTTGTTAGATGGTACAATGAGAATTGCTAAGCACTTCAATTGTTACTACCTCAAATGACTGAAGTGGTCTGCAGCTCTGACATTACTGATCAAAGAATTCCGATTTGTGAACTCATTCACTGCTATCGTCATAAGAAAGTTTTGGTACGATCGAGTGATCGGTTTTGAGTGCACCTCAAGACAGAGCTGAAGAATACGACCCCCCTATTCCATCATCTTCAACTGGAGCTTTCAGTATCACTCAGGTGATCAATCAATGACAACGAATATGAAACTTATAGTGAGAAGATATAATGGATCGATAAATGCGTTATATTCATTTATGGATAAAGTTATTTTTAAGCGATATTGACAAATCAGTGTTACACTAGTGTAATGTATTGTCTGCGATAACAAATGCAATAATGTAATTGGAGGCCGCAGCTGTGCTCAATTTGAATACATTCAAGCAACCAGATTAAATAGAGATGAATGGTGGGTACATCCCATAAGACGTATAACTTAATCCCTTCGGAATCTCTATTGAATTTTGCAAAGAATATTTGTACTAAGCTCGCATCACGACAAATACAATGCGATCGATAACCTGTATTCACAATCAGATAGGATATTCGGTGTGATATGCTCTTGTCATGCAACTAATGACACATCCAGAAGGATGTTGCCGACTGATAAACGGAAATGGTTCCATTGAATGAAACAGCCTTTAATATGGGCTGATCTCCGTTTGGGAGTCAAAATTGGTTTGAGGAAAGTCGATAATAAGTGTCGAGATGATCGATAAGAAGAAATGACCTGAAAACGTAGAATGATGGTCCAAATGAGGCCGAGAGTGAGTCGAGGGTTGCCATCCACGACGTCATGTGATCCAAGATTCTCCAGATGTACGTGCTGATCGCGCAAAAATTGTAAGCCTTTGTCCACATTTTCCAGACAATGGATCCGCATTTTGCCTCTCGTTGGTTTTGGCTGAAGTTGTTGAACATCAAACATCAAAACTTTCAAAAAATCTCAAAGTTTTTATGGAAACAGAAACTGAAAGGTAGATGAAGTTATCTGCAACATCACTGAACTGTATTGAACTAAAAATCACCGGTTCAATGACTGAATTTCCTTGGTCAGTTTTATTTACTCCTAAAATTCCATGAAGCAAGAATTTAATGAGTTCAAGGAATTTGTTTCCGCAGTGATGAAAATCGCTCTACAAGAAATTTCTCAACGATAGCAATTTTCGTATTTCGTACATTTGGGCTATTCACTGACTCTGAGAGGGAGAAATTA